AGATAAGACTATGGCGTCACCGTTTGACATGACTCGTGGAATATGTCTAGCCTCATTTTTGGAGTCCCTTGTTACAAATGGCACTGAAAAGCATTATGGTACACGATTCGTGTACCGATGGTAAAATGTTTATTTTGTCTTAACTATTGTATACCAGAAGCCCATATCTTTTCCCGGTAAGATCACATCATCAATGTTGATTTAAATTGACAAATAGTTCGTGTTTTCAATGTCGAAGACTTTAGATGATATTGAGTTAGACTTAGCTACTTTAACTTTCATTAATTTTAAAACGCTAAACCAATTATGACATAGAGGGTACATTAAAACAATATCGCACTGTAGCCAGTGGGGCATATGTCATTCATGTCAGTTGTTATCCAATCAAAGAATGATTTTTTTCATATTTCAAATTATCGCAGTTAACTGTGTTGTACAATCTGCCCTACTTAATTTGAATTATAAGTTTATTTCTTCCGTTTTGCCATATTGAAAATGAGTGTTGGGACGCATACAGCCAAGGTACTGGCCCCAGGCATTAACAAACATTTCACATTCACTGTTATTTCTATCATTGAATTGCTTTGTAAAATCAAGGATTAGACCGTTGGGCGCGGTGTCCTTGTTAAAATAAAACGTGTTTGGATATTAATTGTATAGTCTACATAATGATTTCATTGAGTAGAACATATAGACCCATTGATGAATTCTCAGCTGACAAAATACCTACCGTGGAGGGTGCAAACAAAGTATTGTCGATCGTATCGAGGACAAAATATTTAGTGACCTTTTCTAGCAAATTGTCCGAGAAAAATAACCTGCAAAGTCCATTGAAACAGTTTCTGACATTCTTATTTCTTATAGTCGCGCAATATGTCCGACAAAGTCTTGTCAAGCGTAGCGAGGAAATAATAGTTCTAGCAATTAAGCTGAGAAAAAACCCTGTCATTTATAAAACATTATAGATTAAACTGTATAAACGGTGGGGGCGCCGCTGTCCACTTATTTCTAAACAACCCGAACCTAGCTCCCTTACTAACATATTTGCTTATACTGTTCACAATAGAATTGTCTTCAAAGGCCAACGGGTCGTTCAAATATTTTATCACAGTGTATAGTTCCTTTATCAATTCCAGTGATAATACATGTACAAATATCTACAGTAAATGATTTGAAGGACCATTTTCTACGGACTATGCGTTTCGTAAATCCGGTTTTGTCATGGTAACATATGAAATCCCGATAAAAGCATTGATGATAAATTCAATATATTTTTATAATATATAATATATATATATATATCTTAATATTATTATTTAATATTTTAAAGTTGACCAAATCTGATCAGATTTTAACATGGAAAACAATTTTTTGCAGTAGATTTCTCTCCGCAAAAAGGTAAATATTTGTTTTATGTCATGTAGTTTTTTAATTTGACTGAGCTAAAGATGAACGTTTAAAGACCTATCATCAAATTTGGAACTTTAATCATCATAATTTCGTATCCATCTAAAAGTTCAGTCAATGAGTAATGTATAGTTTTATATTGCGCCAAACGTACAGTGATTTCTGCGAGACAAATTAATACATTGAGGATACTCTCATCGTTATCAAGAAAATAATCAACCAAATCTAAGATTACATACAATCGAGTAACAATAAGCTAACACGTCCGTTGTCATCTCTGCAGGTTCCGCCGACTATAAGAGATTACAGATCTTGATAAATACCGAAAGTTCATCTTGGCCCACGCCGGGATTCGAACTCACATAATGACAACTCGACTACCACACCCACTCACAGGCAGGCAAAGAATCTGGATACATGTAATAATCAAATTATTATTATAAGATAATTTATAATTCGCACGCCTTCACAAAAATGTGTTCAGTTAAATATGAAAAAAAACCCACTATAAAATAGAAACATGCATTTAATAATCAGCTATTCACTTTTCGAGTACTTTAGATAAGAAGCTAGGGTTTTTAACAGGTTTGGAAATATTCCAGATTTAAGCGATGCGTTTATAATATTCAATATAACCGGTAAGATCACTTCAAGGTGGGTTTTAAGGAACCGGGTAGGTATGGGATCAAGCGAACAGGAAGTGGATTTCAGGATCTGATTATCTTCGTTAATTTCAATTCATCTAGTTCACAAATACTACTCAAAGGACATAGTAGTAATAGGCTCAGAGATAATATCTTCGGCAGGTGCATTCGCGTTGAGACGAAATTTTTGATATTTTGTGTAATACTATTTGATAATTTATGCGAAATTGTATTAGACGAATAAAAGTGCACAAGAGGACGTGAGTTATAATGGTAGAACCGAAATATTGTATTTGTTTTTCCTGTTGATATTATTTAAGATGCAGTATATTAAATCACAACGTGAAGCTGTCATTAATGGGGGATGTCTGAGTGGCATTAAAAGATACATACAAACCAGTTAAATAATTGCAGAGAAAATACTAGACGACCAAGGGCTGTTCCAAAATATGTAGTAAGAAACGATGTGCCGAAGTGGTTTTCTGGGAGTGGTAGCTTATTCCAACACTAACGACGAAAACTCAGATAAATTAAAATTGTACTTTTAATAAACGAATGTCCAAAACTGGCTAACGGTCACAATAACGAGATAGGTATCGCTAGGGCGAGCCGTACTTAGACTAAAGTTCAATGTAGAATAGAGAACATATATACAAGCTTAAGATTAAAATAATTATATAATAATATTTGATCAGAGATGTTAAATTGTAAATAGGAAACAGATGTTTAAATACAGAAGAAGATATCGACATAGCAAGAACGCGTGTTAACTATATTATTACGTAATATATATCGTTACATTAAGTATAAACCCAAACAGTTAAAAGACCAGAAACATTAGCGAGATATCAATTCGGACATTGGTCAATTGCTATTTTGACTAAAATTAAATAGTAATAAAATATATAGAAAGACACACTATAACAACACCCCGTCGTCCCGAAAAACGCTTTTCTCCGTAAAAGCAAACAATAAATCACACACAGTAGGTGTTTAAATTTATTATAGACTAATTCAATTAATAAGATAAAACCTACAAAATATGGTAGACTAAACATAACACTAAGGAATGAACAATTTAAATTTTGAAGACAACAAATTATCCATTCTATTTTAAATATAAAATGGTGAACTTAATAGGTACATATAAATGAAATATTAAATCAACACTTTATAAAATCCCAATAGGAAGGACATAATGACAGAGATATAACAGGTATAAATTCACATAATGAACCTGTAGTTCATTCTAACATCAATCCAGTATGAGAAGTTTTTTTTATATATAATTTATATGAAATAATATTGAGGGGAATAAATCATGTTGAATAAAATTATCCTCCATTTGAAGAGGATAAAAGTGACGCTTAATGGTCTTCCTGTGGATGAAAAAATAAATAAATAATTTGATATGATATGTCTGGGTTGAAGAACAAGTGTAGCTATCACTGGAACTTTCTAGCACTTATACATATTGCTGTGTAGTGGAGAGACCAATCATATCTCATTAACAATTTCATTCATCGTATTTCCCTAATAGATCGAAGTTAACTTTTAGTGAAATATTTCTTCTTTTTGTGTCGTCTTAAGGCATTTGGTTTGTAATTATTTTTGAAATTCCTACGGTGGATTTCGTCAATATTTTCTTCTGGTTCCACAGTTTTAGATTTATCATCCCATAGTATTTGGTACTGAACTTTATCCCTATACTTTCGTTTTCTTCGAATTCTAATAAAGTTATATGGCCTGTCCGTATCCACATTTATACCCTTAGTCCATCGATTTAAATGTTGAAACATACTTTCTGTATTCGCTGGTCTTTCGTTGTCCGTTTGACAACTCTGGTTCACACTTTACACGGAACACATTATTTCCACCGAAACCAAAGAAAAAACGAGGGGCGCTATTATCGCTGTGTGTTATTTCTTAATTTCCTATTTTCGAGTTGATTTTGGCTTGTATACCGTGTTGTCGCCTCACATTTTGTCGTAACTTCTACTTTTCGACTTTTCGACTTTCGTGTTCTGAAGAGGCGAAAAGTAGAAATTATGAATGGTAGTTATAGGCTTCCATAGTTTTCAGTTATAAAGATTAGGGAAATTGATAATCAACATGTAGCGAATATCACACTCAGTTTCAACCCTATTGGATCACTGCTTCTATTTTGAAAGCCTTGGAAATCACGCAGGTCTACCCTACATAAGTAGACTGGTGCACACAATTTGGTAAACTTTTGGGATTTTATAAAGTACATCTAAATAAACGCAAAAATGTAGAAATACGTTTTCTTGCAATTTTTTAGGGGCAAAATCATAAATTGACTGTACTATCAAAGTTACTATGCGGTTTGTTAAATTATTTTTCCAGATTATTCGTGATAATGAAGTTTTCTTGGTTAAAGAGACCTGTGTTTGCCGTTGTTTGTTTTTATGGAATATTTATTACCTGGTACTTCACTATACAACCTCGGTAAGCGTGTCATAACTTGTTACACCAAAGAGAAATTTATTATAGATTTTAAAAATTCTTAATATTAATAATAATAAGGTAATCTATCTTTTATATTTCAGAAATGTATTGGATATAATTGGTGTTCAAGTTAATCAAACAGGATCGTCACTGCCAACTCGGGTTGACCCAAAGCATTTTATATACAAAGCTGATATAAATGAGCTGTTAATAAGCTTAACCAAGAAGTGCGACAACTGCCCAATTAAATGTCCCACTGAACTTAAAGCCATGTCCTCGTGTCGTGGAGAAGCGTGTCTTTGTTTTAAGTCAAACCCAGTCATGAACTTTGAAACACGTTTTGACAACACAATTATAGCCAACGAAAGCTTGTTACCATATGAAATAATGACATTGGATGACCAACCCATAAAGGACATACACCAACTTCCTGATGCAAAAAGATCAGACGTTACAACAATAGTTCCGAAAGGCGATATTTATAATGTTGGTGAAGATATAAAGATTAAACTGCAACTCTATAATGGATATGGTGACAAGGTTAAACGCGGTGGTGATGACATACGAATAAGAATGTTTGAAAGATCTAAACAGATGGGAATAGCTGGTCGCGTTAAGGATTATAATAATGGTACATATATCATAACTATTCCTACTTTATGGACTGGAATAAACAATGTTATTATATATATTCCGTATTATCGAGAAGAGCGCTCCACTTTTCTTAAATGGTTGCGTCAATTGAATGCAGTGTTCTACTACAAGGCTAGTTTTACAAATGGTGCCGAAAATCAGTCAACGTTATGTTCTTCGCGTCCAAATATACCCGGATATAATGTTACGTGTAATATGACGTATGAAAATGGCGATGATGAGTGGTATTGCGGGGCCCCGCCTTCCAGAAATCTAACATGTAAAGACGTAGAAACGTTAAAGGAATATCACATGAGAGATCTAGCCATAACGAAACCAGAAAAATATTTAATGAGAAGGTATTTGCCAAAGAATCTCGATATTTTAACCAAGTACAGCGGGACATTTATAGACATGCTCATAATGACATCATTTTTAATGCCCCAACATCGTAATGATTGGGAAGAAAAAATGAAATGAAATGAAATATCCATTGATAACTCATGAGCAGAGACTTGTCCTTTAGTTCTCGACATTTTACTCTGTTTTACGATGAAAAATCGAGTATTCGAGAAGTAGTGAGGGCTGACTTGATCTCGTGGCCGCTTCAACATTGATAAATAAAGTCGACAAACCGACACCACGACAACCCGACATTTCTACGCGACAATACGACATTTTTACGCGACATTACGGCATTCTTAATGTCGTGGTGTCGGGTGAAAATGTCGTAGTGTCGGGTTACAAATGTCGTGATGTCGGGTTGTCGTGGTGTCGGGTTATAATGTGATGTCGTAATGTCGGGTTGTCGCCTTATGAAGGGTGACACCACGACATGATACCAATCAGCCACCATAGTTGTATGCAAACGCACAATATAGTAAGAAATTCTCTACCAATGTTGTATGCATTGAATTGAACTTTCTAAAAAAAACCAAAAAACAACTGACAACTGTAAGTAAAAAGTAAAACACTAGACAATTTGTCGATTATTTGATAGTTAGCCAGCGAACTGGGTAGACCCATACAAATAATCGTCGATAACTGTTATCTGGTTAACGAGTTGACAATGCTCTTTACTGTTGCTATTGTAATACATGTATTCGGTTTAAATTTAACCGTTTCCTATGTCCTTATTTCAGCATGGGCGTATTATGCCGTTACACTGTAGGTTCCATCGTTCGTCAATAATACCCTCCTTTACGCAACAGAGACTACAACTATAGCCGGTTTTATTCCAAGAATGGTGTGAATCATTGGGGTCATGAGAGATTGGACCATATCAATATTCAGTGTTCCGAGACATTCCGGAGTTACCCCCTTTTCCTATAACCTTGGGAAAGCGATACAGGTTACCAATACTGGGCGTTTTACAATCCTTTGTTCTGGAGTTATTCCCCTTCTTAGAAAATACTGTCAACACTGTCATAGAGATCAGAATTCTTGATATTAGTTTTCCTTTTGAATACGTTTGTATCTATGCTGCCCCGCAAAGAGTAAGGCTGTGTCTGCGAAATGGTCATTTTGAGAAAATCGACTTTAAAGTTTGTCACTTTCTTGCATTCTTTCGATATAACTTGTCGATTTTCATATTTTTCTCTATGGGACTGAGATAAAGCAGATACGGCCCATTTTATGACTCCGGACCATTTCTGGTGCCCATTGTAAAACCACGGTGAAAAGCAATATCTTCATATGCTCTCTAATTGTTTCTGTGATAAATAGATAGTTTACAAACTGGGTATTTCAGCATAAATATTGTTCTAGACATTTCCACATTCAGTTGAGTCCAAACCCTTGACGTAATTACAGCTTTACTCCTTAGTTATACCAGAGCAAGTTACATTTACTGCGAACACCTCGTCTTTAATTTGTAATATATGTACCAAGGAGAACGGCAGTGTCTACACTTACTGCTTTTCTCCATAGTTATACCAGAGCAAGTTACATTTACAGCCCTAATCGACACTGTGCATCTCTTTACCTAATTGAGATACAGGAATGAAAGATTTACATGTGATAGAACAGGTCCTGCTGATCACGATACCAAAAACGTATTTTGGCCAAAAGTGTAGATACTGCCTTCTTCCTTGGCACGGCAGTATGGCTGTTAAACCCCATTTCATTTCATTTCTTCTGGACACATTATTTATAAGTTCATTTGGCATTTCAGCGGTGATACATTCAGGGTGTTTGCAAAGGTTACAGTTATAGTAAAAGGTATTTGCAGTTTTATACATAATTTTATAATCATCTTCAAGTACTGGTTGGGGGAAACAAATATTTTGAATATGGACCTTGACTGGGTAAAAGCCATGTACACAGACGGCAACAGGTATTTTGCGAAAAGTCCAAGATAAGATCATCGCTTTGGTGCTATTGGCATCACAACGGTACCCTTTTAATTTGTTCATCGCCCCACACGGAATACATTACCACTACACGCTTTAGTGAATCATATCGTTCTCATGTCGTTAGCTACGTTAACCTGGGGTAACTTTCATGTTCTAATTTTACGTAGACGTAGTTTGAATTAGTAACGAGAAGGATCTGTAAACTGTAACACGTGGTGGTGTTCAATGCCCTCTTTCCTGCAGCCTGTAGAACTGTGAGTCTTTTCTTCAGTCTGCAGAACAGTAGCAGATACATTATGAACGACAAGTTTAGTCAAATTACTTGGTTATGAACGGGGTTATGGGTGATTGAAGTTTTGACAAGATAGTCTCGATTGTCAAGTAACAATGCTACGATAATAAACGAAGTTCCAATTATCCATTTTAACATTAAATTAGTAAATGGCGAGAGCGTTCTAATCCATTCAATATCTTAGACAACATATGGCCAAGAGACATTATTTTGCTGTTGTCATGTTAATAATTGTCTAAACAATAATTTATATAACATTTGAAGCTAGAAATAAAATCTGCAATAGGCCGATTTAGATCCTACATAAGGCATCTACCGTTACTTTGTTCCACCAGTCTGTGGATCAGTTTAGTCTTTCCATCAGTGGAACAGTGAAGTCCCGGGCGTTCTTTATACGAAGAGCATATCCCCAACCGCGTAAATGATTTTGTTTATTGTATTTCTAATGACAATTTACCTTCGTTGACAGGACGAGAGAGTGACGAGAGACACCTACTGCCTTCTTGTCACAGATTACCAAAATTCAAGACCTGGGATCTGTCACTTCCAACAGGATATGTTTCAAAAGGACGATATTTTCCAATGAATTGTCGAATTAACAGAACTAATGAAGACTTCCAAAATTGTTTAAAAAATACAACTCTTATTCTTACTGGAGACTCGACTACAAAGAATTGGTTTACGCGAATGATTCCTTTCATTGGATGCAAATTAACCAATGGTAACTTGGGGTTTGATCGACGAATTTGGTCCAAATTGGCTGAATGTGTGAATAAAAATACGAACTTTAAAATGCAATGGAAAGCCCACAATATGCCTATATCTACATTGAATATGGAAAGATCGTCCACGGAAAACAGACTGCGAGCTAAATCCATTGGACAAATGTTGGATGAAATACCGACTGAGGGAAAACATATATTTGTAATTCATATAAATGCCCATTTAGGTCGTACTCATTATAATGTAATGCGCAAAATACTTCACCGTATTGCTGTAGTTCTACGTCAGACGATGGGTCGAAATAAACAATTATTTCTGGCAATTAAAGGGCCTAGTATGTTTAATAGAAGTTGGAAGCCTGCGATGAACGATTTTAGTGGCCGATTTTATGAAAGAATTATAATGGAAGAATTTTCGGAATTTCGTGAGCGAGTTGTATATCTAAATATTTGGGATATGAATATGGCTTATGGAGAGAAAGATCTCCACCCAAAGGATCCTATGTTGTGGAACATGCTACGGCTTTTGTTTGGGCATGCCTGTTCTTAACGTAAGACCCAGGTTGGAACAAGAATTACTAATTACAAATTTAGTTTTTTATATGTCCACATTCATAATGTCTCTGTGTTTTATGTGTCTGTGGGCCGCCTACAGGCCGCAATTCTGATTTTCTTAAAACTTTGCATACTGATTCCTTATACCCTTAGGATCATCCCTATTGTTTTTGGTGCATGCCCGAACCTCAGGGACAGAGCCACGCCGATTTTTGTTATTTGTTTGTCTGTCGTCTACAGGCCGGATTTCTTAACGGATCATCTTGAAACTTTGCATCCTTATTCCTTATACCCTAAGGATCACCCCTATTGTTTGTGGTGCATGCCCAAGCCCCAGGGACAGAGCAACGCCCATGTTTTTCTTTGTGTGTCGGCTACAAGCCGCATTTCTTAATGGATCGTCTTGAAAACTTTTCATACTTATTCCTTATACCCTAAGGATGATCCCTATTGTTTTGGGTAAATGCCCTACCCCAGGGGAACAGCCAAACCATTTTTTCTTTGTGTGTCGCTTACAGGCCACAATTCTTAATAGATCGTCTTGGAACTTGGCACATGTATTCTTCATAGCCTAAGGACGACAACTATTAAATTTGGTGCACGTCCCGACCCGTAGGGTCAAGACCACGCCCAATTGTCATGTCTATCATACAGGTCTCAATTCTGAATGGATCATCCTTGAACTCTTGGCATTTGCATTCCTTATAGCTTAAGGCCGGCAAATATTGATTTAGGTGCATGCCCCGATCCCAGGGGCAGAGCAACACCCATTTATTTGTGTTTAGTGTGTGAAGGCCACAATTTTGAATACATTATCTTTGAACTTGGTATACGTATTCCTTATATCCTAAGGACGGCAACTATTGATTTCGGTGCATGCCCCTACCCCCAGGGGCAGAGCCACACCCATTTATTTGTGTTTAGCGCCTGAAGGCCACAATTTTGAATGGATTATCTTGGAACTTGGTATACTTATTCCTTATATCCTAAGGACGGCAACTATTGATTTTGGTGCATGATCCACCCGATTGGATCGTGCCACACACTTTTTGTTAATCTTTGGTCTAAATGATCTACAACTTGCAGTTATTAACAGATTTGGATCCAATTCGGCATGATCTATCATAGGGTTGCACCTATTTATATTGTTTCATATCCAACCCCCCAGGGGCCGAGCCAAACCCAACTTTTGTGTTTATGGTCTACAGGCTGCAATTCTGAATGGATCATTTTGGAACTTTGCACATTTATTTCTTATACTGTAAAGACAGCAATTATTTATTTTGGTGCATGCCCTGATGACCCCTAGGAATGTGGACGTATATGCTCTTGTTTTAATTTTGTGTCGTCCTTTCTCTATTGCATGATTTTTATAGTATTCCTGACGTAGTCCAACACTCGATAGATGTTCGTTTGCCATTTATTTGGGGTTCACGTGGCTAAGTGGGCAAGACGCTGGCTCGCTAGCCTGGAGGTCGGGTGTTCGATCCCTGCATTGGCCGAGAAAGTTCGTCCAGATTTTCCGGCGTGGTTCCCCCTTGTCAGTGATGCAGGACGGAGGGCCTGATAAGGACAGCTGTCTAGTCCTTCGGATGAGACGAAAAACCGAGGTCCCGTGTATATATTGGAATACACGTAAAAGATCCCCTGGCAGTTGGAATTCGATATAAGACTAGGCGATAATGCCGCTGCCCGGGCAAAATTTCCCTCATAGCACACTGTATGGCGTATGCCCGTCTTCATTAGCCCAGTATAGGAGCAGAACAGTAGGACGTTAAACCCCATTTCATTTCATTTCATTCCATTTATTTCACCAAATATTTATGTAATGGTAGTGTGATAGAGTAAAGTATAACTCTACATTTAAATACATAATATTTCACAATTAATAATGTATGTACATGTAGAGTTATACATTACTCTATCACATAACTCCTAATTGTATTTCTATATCACCTTTGGCAGCGAAAAGTCTAAAAGGCATTTTATCACAACCTTACGCAGCACACATTTTAGTGTCGCATCATGGTCAATACCAAGTACTTCTTTCTGGTAATTGCAGTATTTGATATCATTTAAATTTTTCAATTTTACTTATTCAATGTGATTGTATTTAATTTTCAAATATGTATATTATTTATATAACTTGCGGCTAATTTTTGTGGCAAATTACAGTTCTTTCGCGGACAAAAGAATGTTTCAAGCCATGGGGGTATGTGATAGAGTAAAGTATAACTCTACATGTACATACAACATTAATTGTGAAATATTATGTATTTAAAGTTTTATTTATATTTTATTATTACTACACATGTTCATTTCGTATATACATATATTTTATTATTATTACGCATTTCTTATAGTCGTTAATCAACCCATAATCTTGATAGACTAGTTGTAAATTAATCTAATTGTTTTAATTACCAAAACGTCTAGAGATATATAACTTAAGCACATTCAAACTGTATTCTTATAATTAAATCTATTGTGCTAATTGTTTAATGAGTTAATCCTAGGACGCTCTAAATCAGACCTGGTTACCAACATGTATATAAACTCAAGCAGAGTGCAGCATATATATTCACTCTGGAAATAAACATACATGTTGAACAACCTCATATGATTTAGAGACTAATTTACTTTTAGGATAATTGAGAACGAAACAGCCAAGCGAGTAACAGCCACTCCCAACCCTTACGTATTGTAGTAGAATCGTGATGCACAGGATTCCCTCCATATACAACGCAACAAAGCGGCCCGTTCTCAGTAGTTTGATATACTAAATCCATTGTAGTAATATATATTCCTTGAGTGGCATTTAGCAATTGATTTATGATATAATACTAGAACACTTATTATGGATACAATCACTTGATTTATTGTACTGCAACGTTGCAACTAGATTTTACAAGTCGTTTTCAAGCAAATATCTAATGTACAAATGAGACATATCATGGATGAAATATATATATATATATGTACAATCAACGATATCACTAATTAATGAGCTATATAGACAGGTGACAAAGATAACTTTAATGTTTTTATAAGAATATAAGTCTGATTGGAGTAAGTTTTTGATGTTATTGGAATGATATAAGCACGTTAGGTTAACTCGAGTGACATTATAATCATTATAATCATATCATATTAGGTTTAGTAATAAAGTTTTAAACAATTTAACCGCCCGGTAATTTGAATATGTGGTGTCTTAATTTTTAGAAAATTTACTATTTGATTCCATTTATGGTTTAGTAAGTTTCAAAATATAGAGGTTACCAATCATAACAAATACATTATTGTTTGTGTCGGTGACCGTAACTTAAATGATCTGATCACAGGCTCTAGGAAGATAAACGCCTTGGTCACGATTGAGGGACGGGATATGTCGGCGTATCTGGATGGCCTCATGAATTTTCCTCGTTCTTTTGCCATGCTGGTGTATTCTGTACGTTTTTACCTTTGACCAATTAACTTTGTGGTTACGATTGGTTAGTAGATGGGTGGCGACAGCCGAGTCACCGTTGGAGGGTGTAGGTTTGTGTTGGTCCACCCGTTTGTTTAGAGGGACTCGAGTTTCCCCTACGTATGACGCACCGAAGCTACAGTGGATATGGTAAACACAGCCTTTGGGTTGATGAGGTGTGGTTGGGTTCAATTTTCCATTTGCTTTTAGGATGTCCTTGGTGCTTGACCCTTTGATGAAGTTTACTCCAATCCCTGGATGCTGGTGTAATATTCTCCTTATTTGGTATGATACCTTGCCGTTGAATGGGATTGAAATACGTACAGGTTCTTCTGGAGGTGACGGTGGTTTCGGGTCTTCTGATAGGGTTTTGTTAATTATTTTCTGTACCACTTCTTGTGGGTATCCATTGTGTTCGACGAATACTTCCTGTAGGTGTCGTATTTCATCCTCGAGGTTGGTACTACTGCATAAGTTTTTGGCTCTCTTCACAAGGGCTGATATCGTGGCTAGTTTGGTGCTGTAGGTGTGGCTTGATTGGAAATGGATGTATTGGTCTGTGTGTGTAGGTTTGCGGTAACCCTGGTTGTGGTAGTTTGCTCCTCGGATTTGACTTTGACATCAAGAAAAGATAGACATTTATTAGTCTCGGTCTCCATAGTGACGTTGATACGTTGATGCTGGTTGTTTAGGTGGTTTAACAGATCGATTGGGTCGTCTTGATCTTCCAGTATAACAAACGTATCATCAGCATTTCTAGCCCAGAAGATTGGCTTGATAGTGGAAATGTGTAATGCTGATTCTTCAAAGGCTGTCATATAGATTTCAGAAATCCGTGGTGACAAGGGGCTTCCCATTGGCAGCCCGTGGATCTGTTCATAGAAATTGTCCCCCCCATTGGAAGTACGTCGACTCAAGGCACTCTCTCATTAGCATGATGACGTCATTTGTGGTGAGGGTTGGGTGGATCGGTTCATCTAATTCATCAAGTCGTTTCTTCAATACATTTAAAGCTTTGGTTCTTGGGACGTTGGTGAACGAATCCACGACGTCATATGATATCATTTTTCCATGTCTATTTAGGTTGTTGAGTTTCATACAAAATTCTGCGGAGTCTTTAATGAAGGAGTCTGCGTGCTTGCCTAGAAAGGAGACTTGTTTTGATAAATACTGAGCGGTGTTGTAGTGGACAGAGTCTCTGGAACAGACTAGTAAACGGGCTTTAATATGAGAATATGAGAATTGTAACAATAGTATGACCTGGACATAAACGATTAGATATCACGTAAACCAACTGAAATGTGTGGTATATTGATACCATAAATAAATTATAGCTTAATAAACACATTTGCCATGTGTCTTCTTCATTGGCAGAAATATATAATATCCTCTCTTGTTTATGAAACGGCACAAACAGTGATGAGAGGTATTTTGTGGACCAAATTAGTTAATATTCCCCGCCCGTATTTGGAAATTGGAACTTTGACCAGGCCATGACACCGCTTTCCATATTCAACCGACGGATAGTGCTACACCATACGGCGTTATAAATTTGTAATCACTATGTATTTTGTTATATCTATGCTTAGTATTGTGATCTCAAATGACCATGCTCAGAGTTGCTTTGTGTTCCATTCTTTGATTTTAACAATGCGCATACGGTGTGTTGAATACTCAATAATGGGGATACTCAAGTCCTCTTTTTTGTTAAGGAAATACACAGCTACAATATATTTGTCTCGCATGCTACTGTGCATACAATTCCTTCGCTTCATCGCGATTATGTATATTTTGTCCGTGCGATATAGCCACTTCAATTGTCAATTTGATGGCATCTGTCGTCTTATTCTGCATATGTATCCCAATTGAAGGACAGATTTGATCATGTGTCAAATAACATAACTGATTAGCAGGAATCACAAAAAATAGTATTGCTTATAACCTAAGTAAGAATCTTGATTATGGATTAGGCCAGTTGATGTATGTTCTCAAGCCTTCATCCTCCAGCTTAACTTCAAATTCACACAAAATCAAGACCGATTGATGTTGTCCTTTGGTTGTCCATCAGATACTCGATCGAACCATTACATTCTTGCTACACTGGATTGCTTTCGGACGTCTATTCTTTTAACAGGTTAAAGCCATGCTTGGCAAGGTCAACTAATTTTTAAACTAACGCTACCCATATTGATTAACTGACAAAGAATCTGTGTAATGTTCCAGCTGATAATGCCCATAATCTTACCGAAATTAATCATTTATGTTTAATTATGACTGATGAAAATGATATTGTAATACACTCACCCAATGCAAATACACACCCTTCTAATCGGATCACAAAAAGCCGGTTAATTTAAATCAGTATGTACATAATAGTGATGATAATCATAATCTTGCTATCCCATTACCATTTAACCCGGCAATGTCATCCTTTAAACAAGGTTTCTACCAGGGTTCAAGAGTGGTTCCTTATAAGTTTTAATTACCATACATCATACACGGGCAAGTCATAGATCTTCTTGAATCCCCGTAAACTCATGCGCTACATTATTTGCCATTGGCTATCGCCTTATTTAAGACTATAAACTCCAAGTTACAGGTAGCATTGGTACAAATAGATTGATTCACATGTAATATTGTTAGTGTAGTTTTTATTCAGAAACCCACCTGTACATTATCCTTAACATAGTTATCTATAACACGTGGTTTAGTACACTCATAAGGTTCGGGGCATTGTAAATGTCCATTTTATGCCTAGGTCCCCCAATGAAAATATAATAATTAAAATGGACCTGACAGCACACAGCACTATTTCAATCACGGCTGACATTGCCGGCCAAAAACACCGAACCGCGTGTTTGTACGCCAGAAAGTACACATCCGCTTCGGCACTCATGTGCATACTTCACTCGAGAAAAAACGCAGCGGAAAAGTCGCTCATCGAACAATTTTTGTTTTACATGGAAACGGTCACATTTGACCTACAATATCGATATTTAAGGTGTTTGATCATGTAAATTAGGCCCATGACATATGACCCAATTGGACACAGGTCACTATTAATTTCTACGTTGGTTACTCACGAATTTAGTGCCAAAGTTATTTTTCGTCCTTCTCTCCCTTTCCCTTCTCCCCTTTTGCAGACAATATAAACTGTGTAAAGTCAAAACAAACGAAAATAATAGCAGCCAAAAATCAAAATTTAAAGAAGTTTTCCGAAAAATATAATTATTGTTCTGTAGGTCACAAAAGAACATGAAATTGATAAATCATGATATTAATAAATGATATCAATGCGGATATGAAGTTTGTGACCTACTTTATTTATGTTTATTATTCTCGTGTCAAGAGGGCAGCCAATAAGCCCTTGTACAGTAACAGTTGATTTGAAACCTTGTTGAATTTGAAGGTTCTTTGCTCTAGAATTGACCTGTTTACATTTCCCTTGGTACTCCTGCATCTTAAAAGCTATTTTTCTCCTTGTTAACCATATGCATCTCAGATTATCCTTAGTTGTGTCTTTGCGTGTGTAAATTAGTTAAGAGTACTTACAGGTAGGATATGAGTTATTATTAATTTAGTATTTTGTTTATGTCAAAACTTTGTATTTGTCAGTAAATCAATAGATAGAGAATGTCATTAAACTGAGAAGAACAGCCCAGTCAACAGCGTAACAAATCAATCGAGATTAACCAGGGCTTTATTATGTTAATATAAAAAGTATACAATGACAATCGCTAGAAATTACGAAATCGCGAGACAATACGTCAGAAAGCGAGAAATTTATTATACTCGATTAACCAGTGCTTAGTAGAATATTACAGAAAAACTAATTGTGCGACAAACGATGCTATCCAAAATAGCTACAAAAGTAAGCATTGTATATTCACCACACGTGGAATCTTTTATTATGTTGGACAAACAATATTTTCACCATCTGTTAATACATTTTTAAATCGATTTACCTAAGTTTTTGGGGAAGACCCCAGATCATACGGGCACCATGTTACGTATTGTGTTTAAACAAACTCGATAGAAATACGACATTTATTCGCATGACAAGCCTAGAATCAATTCTCATAATCGATCGCCATTAAAATTTAATAATTTAATTTGAAAATGGAGAAGCGAGGCTGAATCTCGATTAACAAGTAATGTTGCTACGATAATAAGCGATCTATGCCACGTCTTGTCAAAACTTCAAACAGTCATAACGTCGTTCATTAAAAAGTAATTTGAATGAAATTTTCAAACTATTAATTTTGAATTATCTATTTTGGAACTATTAAAGTAGGAACGGGCAGCTCTTATTTACATCTTACATAATGCACGGTTTCTTCATTAACTGTTTCAATCTGTTTTACGTGGGTATTGTAAAAGCCTTCCTATACCTCTGTATTAGATAACTGGTCCGGGCAGAATGGTGACTTTTACTCAATCTATATACTCATTTACACTCAATAGGAATTTTTTAAAATTAGATATACTTCAAACGCGTTTATTTATTTTTCTAATACTTCCAAGAAAATGTTTTAGAATTTTATTTGCAGATGGAAAAAAGTTTATATCGCGAGCTCATTAAGCCACATTGATACCATCCCACTCAGTGTATAACTTGTTAGCCAAAGCATTCTTCGTGCTGTTATACTTGGGTTAACCAATTATGTAATTATAGGGAGAAAGGAAGTTGAGAATATCAACAATCAGTGCTGCTGGAACGGGATCAAGCTGGTTAGTGCTAAATGATAAGACCAGCAAAATATTTCGTCACAGGTCACGATATGTAAACAGGACAAGCGCTAATCCCAACCCAAACCCTAATCGGCCTAATCCTGGACCTAGCCCACATGCGATAGCTCAGTGGTAGGGCGTTGGACCGGCAACTGCGAGGCAAATGGGTGCCGTCATGGGTTCGATTCCCGTATGGGTTAGGAAACGTTAGACCCAAGGCCCGTGCTTTCTGTGGGGGGATCTGTAAGGAACCCTCGCCTCCCGATAACCCTAACCTAGAATCTCGCCAACAATCACGTGCCCTAACCTTATTTAAATCTCAGCGACCTTGAATAAAATTGGGCTGGCCTTAAATAGATTTAGCCGGATCAACCTTGCAAGTTGATGTTTTTCATCTTGTTTATTACACACAATGTATCAGCACTATTTGTGCATATTTCATCAATATGCACTGTTACAATATCACAGTTTGCATGACAATAAGTAATTGTGTTAGAAATAGTGAAGAGTGAGTGAGCCACTGAAATAATTAAAGATACATTATGGGAGATTTTAATAGAGAATTGGCCATTCTTGCTATAACAATTCAAAAATAGATGATAAAAGAAGAATATATTGAAAATTTCAGTCAAATTACTTTATTCTGAACAAAGTTATCACCATTGTAATTTTTGACTAGAAATAGGAGTCAAATCCCTCTTCACCGTCTACAAGAATGCAGGCCGTTTGATTGACAGGCGTTAACTCCACCAACATAATCTCGATTATCAAGTAACATTTTCAATTCGTATCACATTTATTTTTACTACAAATTAAAAATAGGACTTTTATTATATAGATAAGAAGCGAAAGTTTTAATGGAATGGACCAAATTATAGCCGACTTCTTCAATCTTGTTAGCCTGCGTGTACTCCCGAAGCAGACAAATTGAAATAGGAAACATTGATCCAATGGGGCTGCATGGGCTGCAATTCAACTGGGGTGATGTTAGCTGCGATGTTTATCAATTTCCATAATTTTTCTGTAAACGCAAGTGACAAAAGAGCGTATAATACCGAAATCCAAACTCTCATTTTAACCACAAATAAACATAATATCAAGGCCGTATATATCGAACTTTCAATCAAATTGACCGACATATGCGGCCATTTTAAAAACGACAGAAATATCGCGGATCCGTTGGATTTTTATTAAATCACGAATTTATGTGGTATCGTTTCACCTTTATTTCAAGGGGAATTGGTTTATTAGTATTAAGCTATGTGCAGTATAGTTTGGCGTCAGTTTGAGTTATAGGCAAGTATTCTTTTTATTTTTGATTACAAAACTTGCTCAAAAGAAATCCTTAGAACGACCCACTACTGTGGCTGGAGCAAGATGGAAGTCACCAATAGTGGAATCATTTCTAGCATTAGACACCCATAAAGCCTTTATTTAATAATCAATAAAAAAAACCCGACATAGTACATAGTTCACATTACATTTAGTGTGTAACATCATATCTTAGAATCACATTAAAACTTCAAAACAAAAATCATAAAAAAAACATTCAGTAGAACAAACAGAAACACAAAGAAACGGTAAAAAAACCCCAACAAAACAAAACAAAACAAAAACCACAAAGATAGCTAGAGGTATGAAAGGAATACTAAAGTTATGCAAAATAATCATATTGTATAATCCCATTTGTAACATGGACGGGAAGTTAGGGTAAGCATGTGGGCTAGGTCCAGGATTAGGGTTTGGATTGGGATTAGCGCTTGCCCTGTTTACATCTCGTGACCTGTGACGAAAAATTTAGCTGGTCTTATCATTTAGCACTAACCAGCTTGATCCCGTTCCAGCAGCACTGATTGTTGATATTCTCAACTTCCTTTCTTCCTATAATTACATAATTGGTTAACCCAAGTATAACAGCATGAAGAATCCCATTTGTAACATGGACGGGAAATCTTCCTTTGCACTTTTCGTTGAATAAGCAGATTGTTTTCCCTCTAGTAGATTGGGTGGAGCTTAACCGTTCAATAACTAGACATGTTCAATGTTATTGCACTCTTTTGCTGGTTTACACTTAGTTTAAGTAGAAATCATATAGAGAAGTGGGGTGGGTTTTCTGTGCAATAACAACAAGCATGTTGAGCATGTGTCAATGTTACAAGTCATTTATAACACGCTTCATTCGTTAACAGGTTTAACATCTCGACCTACGGTCTCGATGTTTAAAGCTGTTGACTCGTGAAAGCCGTGCTATAAATATAACATAATACGGCTTACGACACCACACAATAAGGCAATCGTAACTGATGTACTCAAGTTGCAATCCCTTATTTCAAACAAATGTGACGAATCGGACATTAATCAAGATACAACTAAAAATGGCATAATGTGAAAATTAGAAAAGGTATATATATATAAAACAATAATGGCAATAATGTCAGCTCATACAGCGATCGCAGTCGGACAGTGAGATTTATGGTTATTGTCCATGAGAACAACTAAATAGTTAGTTTACAACCGCGCTATATCATGGGTGATATGGTAATACCTCGTAAGTCTATTTATTGAAAATAAACGTGCGTCAGAAGGCGTTACACAACAAACAAGTTAAATACACTTTATTAGACATTGTTAAATAGGGTTCACTCTTTCATTCATCCCTTACCATTTATTATTTACTTGTAGTTCTTGTATATAATTCAACAATAGTTGAACTTTGAGCATATTAATACCCAATCCAAAATGAGTTCCGTCAAAACTCTCCATCCCGCTAGTGAGGTTACACGTATCGAATATTGGTACATTATGCGGCTTTAATTCTTTTTTCATCCTGACAACGTACTGTTCGATAATTTCTTTCGATTGTCCATTCCATGAATTTTTAAGTAGTCCCGGACAGTGTGGTGGAGCGAAAAGAAACTGGGTGCCATTATGTTTTTGAATGACTTTAAGGGCGGGTGCAACGTATTGATCCATGATGACTCTATGGTTGAATCCTGAATGGAAGCCGATTCCAGCTATTATTAGAACTTTCTTTCTTGCCATTAGTTCCTTTACTTTGTCAACAAATTTTCTACTAAGGCCAGTATGGTAGTACTCGGTAAAGATGAGTTCAAATTGCCCGCCACAAAGGTCACGTGGTGCAATGTCTAGCTGCAGACGACATATTTTTTCGGTGAACATGAACATACCAGTGCATTTGTCGTGAATATCTAAAAGTAAACAAAATACAAAAAAAAAACTATAATACAAAACGGGCATGAGCGTACGCAGGGCCGAACATCTATGGGCTATTGTCCTACTGTTTTGGCCCAACCGGGCTAAGGAAGACAGGCCAACACCATGCAGTGTGCTATGGGGAAAAGTTAAACAGTCACAGTCACAAAAGGGGATAACTCTTCTGTTGTTGCTATGGTAAACGATTCCATAACACATCAGGGGAGATAACTCCTCTTTCGAGTACTACTCCAACTACTGACTAATGTTTTTCCATTACATTCATGCGACTACACAATGTTCCTTACAAATCACCCCGTTCTTCATCACTGATTAGGGGAACGCCTGTTATAGTGAGCTAGCATCCTACACACAATAAGCCACCGTGGCTCCGCCCAGAAGGAAAAATAATTACCTAATAATACAACTAGCTGTTGCAGTTTTAATATCAATTCAATTGACATGATTGATTACCCCGATCAATACCCATCTAATCTTCGCTCCAACTATACGCAGAGAACTATCTACTTTGGGAATAGATATCTGCCCTGAATAGTCGCTATGGTTAAAACAATTAATTAATGTACTATGCGGTTCTAAACCGTTTTACATCTTTCACACACACAAAGGCCTCATAAACACTTTTAATTTCATTAAACATACGTTATTCAAGAGCTAAATCTGCCTATTGCAAGTCTATCCTTAGGCCTCAAATGTTATTTAAATTTTTAATTTGACATTAATTAACTTATCCAGACCATAATCAACCCTTGATGTCAACGCTAGAATGCGATATTTATTGGATTATGATCCGATTTGCTGCTCAACTTTCATTCATGATTTAATCATGACGTGGATAATCGAGATTTCAATCGCTTAATTCTCGGTTATTAGTGGACCAATTTAACTGAAATTTACAGCAAATTGCCTTTATACTATCTAGTTTTAACGTCGTTGGGTTTCTCATAGTATTCCGGTTTCTCCAATTGCTAAAGACCCCATACGTGAAAGCGAATTATTGAAATAAAATTGACCTATAGCTTTAGTTCCACATGACCTAGTTGTTGTCGAGTGGACGTTAAACCCTATTCAGACATCGGCAGTCGCGTGGCCAAATGGTTAACGCATGCGCGTTATATCACAAGGCCTGCCGTTGCGTCAAGCGGCGTGGTTTCGTTTTTCCACTTGTACGTGACTAGGAGTAGGGTCGATTGTCCAACCTCGTGTGTTTTCTCCGGGTCCTCCGGTTTCCGCCCACTGGTAAAGAGCCCCACGCGCAATGAATCCCGAAATAACTTAGTTTGTGTCGAGTGGGCGTTAAACACCATTCCTCTCCCCCCTCTCTCTCTTCTCTCTCTCTCAGACACCGCTAGGTCCGCTATAACCATTCAGTCAGCTAAAACCATATTCGGACATCACCCTCGGTAAGCCGGTACACTATTGCGGTGTTAACATAATATGTCTAGAAATCGGAACAATATTCAACCAAATTTATTACAAATGGCGCTTTTGAAAAAAAAGTTGATTTAATATCAAAATCATATAGCTCACCTTTAGTAACGTTCTTCTTCATGGCGCCATCAAAGGTATTGTTACGTAGCAGTAGTAACAATGATGTATACAGATGTCTCATTAACGAATCGCCACTAAAGAGAATAGTTCTTCCCGCTAATAATTGACAAGCTGTCCTGTTGTTATATTTTCTAAGATGGCATCCTTTATCAGAAGGCTGCCAATCAGCATATTCAGCATGAAGACTTTGTCTTGTATCAAAACAATTCTTACATCTACATTCTTCTACCTCCTTAGCAACGCACGTGTTGTTATAACAACATGGAGTGGATCCATACTGGTCACAAAGGGCACGAAAATGACGTCCCGTTTTCAAAAAATTGACATTTCCACATTTTTTATCTTTTCTTTGTAGAGTTGGAGGCAATGCATGTCTATTTCTAGCTATTTCAAGGAATTTCATCATTTCTGCCTTCTGATTTGACGTCATTGGCCTACTTTTCCAAGTTCCTGATACGATGATGTCAAGGACGCCCCGACAGTTTATCCTAGTTGAGTTGGCTGTGAGAAATCCGACAGTGGGCAACATTGTCACATTTTTTGAAGAATAATCAAATAAAGTATACAGAGATGATGTCTTCCAAAATCTCAACGTTAAACAAGTGAAAAATACCACCCATAATGCAATTTTTACTTTGTTTTTACAAAAGGATGGATTCATCCTTCTTTTAAAAGAAACCGTCGGTAAATATTATTAATTCTTTGGGATTTACGGTCACGACTTGAACGAAATTATGTCATTGATTGATTTTTGTATTTCTGACAGAAAACATGCCTCTCTTGCTTCAGATTTGAATCAATATGGAAACTTCCGCTGAAGATGTAATTTCTAATCTCTCGATCCAGTCTCTGAAGAAGAAAACAGAGACATAAACTTTCAAATCCGTACATAAGCGTGATATTGTATTTCATTAGACTGGATGGCAGAGTCTATTAATCTGCCATTCTGTACACAGAGAACTAATAATTTTGGGAATAGATCTCTGTCGTGGATGACCGCCATTTTTAAAGAAAATAGTATTGCATTTTGTGAGGTGGTTCTAGTTCGCTTCAAATCTTTAATACACAGAGATACTAAATAAACATTTTGCATAGTGGTTCCCCCTTCTCAGTGGTGCAAGACTCGGGATTGGCAAGACTCTGGATTTCGTTTAAACGAAATATTAACTCGTTTAAACGAAATATTTAATTCATTTGAACGAGGAGTGTTTCGGTGGCTAAGTGGGTAAGACGCTGGTTCGCTAGCCTGGAGGTCGGATGTTTGATCCCTGCATTGGCCGAGAAAGTTCATCCAAATTTCCCGGCGTGGTTCCCCCTTGTCAGTGATGCAGAACGGAGAGCCGGACAAGGACAACTGTCTAGTCGTTCGGATGGGACGAAAAACCGAGGTCGCGTGTACACATTGACATGCACTTAACCCTTGTCGGTTCACGTGGGGTCTCCGTGGACCCCATGCACATGTTTTATAGTGTTTTGTAATAACTACTGGGTACAACTTTCTGAAATTTAGTGACTTTGTCTTCTATACATTTTTACACGTAGCAAAAAGATCGGTATTCATCTGCTTTCCACATGCAGTCAGGCCCAACACTTGAAGGGAACAAGGGGTCCAAGCGGACCCCTAACTTATAACTCACAGTAGTGATTTCGCCAATGTGTTTGCTGCCTAATACCATATTGCGTATGTCAGAGTATTCCCTCTTTTAGCATCTGTATGTTACAAATACCAAAAATTAAATGATGAATTCCAAATATAGAATGGTTTTTGTATCAAGCGTGAATTGCCATTTAACCTCTTTATCACATAGTACACACAGTAGCAATTTGGTGAGAATTATTAAATCTTTTCCATATGCCACTAAAATGTTTTTTTGATAATAATTTAGTTGATTTTCAGATGTCAAATATGAATGCAAATAAAAAGCAAACCGCTGCCTTTTAATTCAAATATATTTGTACGTAAAAGCTTGAATTATAACTGGGGTCCATATGGACCCCATGATACCTGCTATGTGATTCTCACAACGTGAACCCACAAGGGTTAAAAGATTACTTGACAGTTGGAATTCGATATAAGAGTAGACCGTAGTGCCGCTGTCCGGGTAAAATTTTCCTCATAGCACACTGTACGGCGTATGCCGGTCTTCATTAGCTCAGTTCGGAGCAGGACAGTAGGACGTTAAACCCCATTTCATTTCATTTGAACGAAATAATTTTTTTTTTTAACGAAATATTTATTTCGTTTTAACATACATTATGCAAGAGCTAAATCTGCCTATTGCAGGTCTTTCTTTAGGCCTGAAATGCTATCTAAATTATTAATTAGACATTAATTAACTTATCCACACGTACACCATAATCAACTCTCGATGTCATCGCTAGCCCGTGATGTTTACTTAATTAGGTTCCGAATTGCTGTTAGTCTTCCATTCATTATTTAATCATGAAATGGAAAATCGACACTATGTTTATGTCGTACCGACTTAAGTAATGATGATCGAGGCTAGGCCGAAAATTCAATCGCTAAAATCTCGGTTCAAAGTGGATCAATTTAACTGAAATTTTCTGCTCATTCCCTTTACATTATCTAGTTTTTAACTATTTTATAACTATTTTAGCGAGAACTGCCAGCTCTTTATCTAATCTCCCTAATGTATCTTTAAACGAAATATTATATCGTCTGAACAAAATATTATTTAAGCGTAATAAAAAAGGAATATATTAGGTAATGAATATTGGAAGTTTTGATAAGAATAGCTAGTCTCGATTTATTCATTTTTAAATTAAATAATTGAATGGCAATGGCGTTTCAATCAAGACCATCAAATGATGTAGAGAGTTGATTATGAGCCCGTCATGTGATTAAAGTTCGAATTATTAGTTTATATAACTTTTGAGGTCAAAATAAAGACCTACAATCTCTAAATAAAAAGTTCTTTAAAAATTCCCCAGGGCCTGATGGCTCGGTAGGACTCAAAACCGAGGTCCCGTGCACACGTTGGTGTAGTGTGCACGTAAAAGTACCCCTGTCAATTGGAATTCGAAATAAGAAAATCCTGGCCAAATTTCCCTATGGTGTATGATTATCTTCATTAGCACGGTATGTGAAAAAAGTAGAAACACCGTTATCCAGTCAAATTTTCCTCATAGCACACTTCAATAACCCGATTTGTGCTGAAAACAAACCCTATTTCATTTCTTAAAATATTAAATGTCGTGCTTGATTTACTCTGTTCTAATATTCCAATGAATGAATGAATGAAACGTGGTTTTATTGCACGTAAGCACCAACCGGAATATATAGCGCCAAACATATGGTGATTCTTTAGAGAAAAGCTAAATCATAGCGCCCAAACCCATATACGATCAAAATGATCGCGCTGTCAAACTATCTTTCAATGTTAACCAACCCCCGCAACAGGTATATTGGATTCGACCAATACGTCACGAAGACATTGTTGACATCGACTCAGTCGAAATTACAAGTAAATTTTCAAATTTTTCAAGAGAGAAATTGTTCTCATCGTTGTGATAATTAGTTGTGCAATGGATTTTATCGAACGGGAGTTCATTACAAACACACAGGTAAGTTTATAATAACCAAAGTTGAGTAGTTTGTTCATAATCGAAGAAATCCGTTTAAAATTTACGATGAATCAGACAGTAGGTCTACGTGTAATGTTGAATGTATAAATTCGGAAATGTTTTGATCTCTTGAACTGTATTATTTAAAATACACGATTAACGTATTAAATTGTAAATAATGAATCAAGCCAAGACATGTATTAAATGTTTTAAATGTTTTATTGAATTGGAATAGAAACTGAAAACAGATTAACACCCTGTGTGAGATATTTCATTCAAATATTGTGAAAGGGTTGGTAATCAAATTAAAATTGTCATTGTGTCATTTTAATAACATTGAATCGTCCTATTCTGTTACGTAGTCGTCTCAACATATTGTTGTCATGGGTTACTTCTGCTAAACAACTCAATAGAAACGAGTAAAGTATTATAAACGAAATTATGTCTAAAGAGTTCTTCATGACATGTATTGACTGTAAGACACAAAGCGTACAGGATCTAAGTGTGATGTTAAAGGTCAACACGCAAATATTGAAATTGGGTATGTTCGTGGATTGACTTATAGAATGTTGTTAATATTTCCATTTAAATAAATACAAAAAGCAATTCGAAAAATAAACTATAAGTAAAGGAACCATCTCAGTGAATAAAGCTATTAATATGCCGTTAACCCGTGAGGCAAACCGAATGATGTTTTATAGTAAATTAGACGAATAAAACATATAACGTTGCCATCTCGACCCTGATGCCCATGAACACAAATGACGAGTTTAAGACAAACCAATTGCGGAATGGAATTGATTAATGCAATATATATTTTATTATGTATTGACAATACTTTTCTGGTTAGATTTTAGCCTAAACACGACATGTGTGTTGGTGACAATTTTGGCAGTCATATCTGAATGACTCAAAAACTGTTTATATTTCTTTAACTTTTGGTATACCTAAATTCGGGCAATTATTTATGGTAGAAAGATATAATAAAATGACCTAAAGCTTTAAAACATATTTTTAAATATGTTGAGGCACCCTAAATTGAATTTGAAGCACCAGGGATAAATAAATAAAAATAGCTATAATGCATGATTTTATTGTAACTAGTGAACTGATAAATATTGTACAATTTATCTAAAGAGTACATTTATGAAAACGTGGTACTTTTCTGATATCTAGTTAAATTAACACTTACCCAGATCTTGGCATAAGCATGACTTAAAATGATCACGGCTAAAACACTTCCGTGCGAATCAAGAATTCTTTATGTAAGAATAGAGCTTTATAAGACCGTAAATGCACCACACATTATGTCTCCATAAGATGGTAGCTATAATCTTTCAATCCAATCCCCTAGTTAAGTATACCCCCACCCAATCATAAAAAAATAATAACATAGCAAAACGGTGTTTAATTCTGATCATCTAAATTATCAAATGATATTCGCCGAAGTAGTAACTGAGAAGGGCGTGTTTTAAGATATACATAATGTATCTTACTATTTTTCGCTTATATAATTTGATTTTCAAATACAAACCATTAATACTTATCTTAGCATTAAAACAATCAACCATTTGTGGTTATATTGAAATCTGTAAAAGACGCATTCTTTTTGAATATATTTTTAAAAAATAATAAATGGAAAAAAACATATTATTAACGCTTTTTCAACAAGCAATTGTTATACTTTAGTGATTTGTAGAGCGTCAAATCACAATGTTATTGTACTGTTTTAAATTGTAGATTTTATTCATTACAATTTTATAATAAAATGTATAAAACACTGAGTTCGAGATTCAAATCACAAATCCATCCATAGCTAGGATACTGCAAATCCGAATATTTTTGTTTATAAAATATTTACTTTCCATTCAATAAATATTCCAGTCATCTAGTTTTGGATTTGGGGAAATTCATTCTCCTTTTCCCATATATACAGATTGCCGTATTATTTAATAATCAAACCAAACAGCATGTAATCAAAGAACGCTTGTATCCGCCATATGTAATATTGTCACGTGACATTGTTATGTTTTGTTTCGCTCGGGAAGCGTTTATTATACATAATAGAACTCCAGTGTAGTGAGCCATAACTATGAACAATATCATGTCCCAAATAAATAATCTAATTTGTAGATCTGCAATTGGTCACATGATGGTCCGAACATTATTTGTATGGCTCTATTTGTTGACAGCAAATACCGCTAATAATTATCTTGGATAAAATACCTCGTTTAGTAAACGAGGCAATTTTACCCAGCCTCGTTCTGAACAAAATACCTCGTTCCAAAAACAGGGCAATTTAAAAAAAAAAACACGTTTTGGAACTCCAGAGAAACGAGGTATTTTTTTACCTCGTTACAACGAGGCAAAATCGGGGCAAAAATTTTGACACGTTTTTGCCTCGTTTGGACAGAAATGCCGAACGAGGCATTCTGAGGTTTATAGTGATACACCACTACGGGTTCTTCGTCGCAGAAGACACTAACGTCGGCATCGTCTGAGATGGAGGACTCCATAACCGGAACTGGCACATCGTATCGGGTTTCGGCTGTAAACGATTCTTCTACTTCGATAGGTTCAGTTGTTGGGACCTCCATAACTTCTTCTTGTTGTTCGTCCATATCTTCCGACTGCTTATTAGATTTAAGGTTGTTTTTTTAAACATAAATTAGATTACAATTCAACTAACACAAAAGTGTAAAAAGATTTTTTTCTAGTCTGTGCCCGCGTTTATGTCTACTCTTGGCAAAATCGTTATAATATAAAAAAAATCATGAAACAAGAATCAAAATGGCCGCCAATCGGGTCTCCAACGCCAATCCAACCTCCCAAGATATAATTTCAAAACAGATTCTTACCTGCTGGTTCAAGTCGAACCGTTTCTGCTTTAATCATAATGTGATTCTGTAATGTAAGTATTTGAACAACATTGTAGCGCCGAACAACTAATGTTAATTAAGCATGATTTCAGAAAAATTGAACAGATTTGATAATAACATGCCCCTTCAAGTTGCGATAGGCCCTACATGTAAGTGTATTTTTACTGTAAATAGCAGTAAAATAATGATGGACAGTATTTTACTTTCAAATAGATTTCAGTAGATTTTAAAGGGTAATATCCAATTTGTTGTCAATGGAAATAAAATAAGAATGGGTCCAAAAATACTTAGACATTGCCAAGTAAATAGGTGCTGCCATGATGTAGTAGGGAATCTGGATTTGCAGACAATACATGTATGAAAGGGTGAATAGTTGACCTATTATGAGACTTCAGTCCCAAATCTCAAGACTTTTTTCTGACTTCTAACTCATTTGATTTGAGCATAATAATCTGCCTGGGTCTGTAACTGGACAAGACACAATAAGCGTTACGCAAAGTTGAAACCAAATAGAGACTCGGTCTCGATGTGGCAAAATAAATTGTTTATTTAAACGTTGTGAACCATAGAAAGTATTCTTATCTCCTACTTTTTATTTTTTAGGCTGGAACACCATTGAAAGAGTATTTGCTGTATGATAACAACAAGAAAACCCAAGCATCAATTTATTTTATACTTCTGGGAAAGAATGCATTTGACCCAATTTTTAAATATTTATTTTTTGTTATTAATGTTAAATTTTCTTCCAAAACACAATTAGATTTTAATTCTCTTCAGAAATGTATGTATAATATAGCAAGTAAAGTGGCATATAAATCACTTAGAATTTGGTCAGAAATCATAAAGTATTTAATAGGCATTACTAGAAACCAAATGTAGATCAAATACACCCAGAATTACAAAAAACCTTGACTTACATAAAGGTGACTTTCCCTTGCTTATGAAATGAAATACGGTTTAGTATCCTACTTTTCTGTGTTCTTAGAGTGATTCTGCCCTACACCCTACTCTTATATCAAATATTTCAACTGTCAAGGGTTCTTTAACGGGAACCCCGGGGGGGGGGGGGCAATGATTAACACGCACACATTTGATCAGGAAGTCTGTCATTGAGTCAAATAATTCAATTGTCAAGGCTTCTTCTAAGTGAACGCAGTGGGGATGGTTTCGATTCCGGAAATGGGGGAGGGGGTGGTGGATGGCCGAATGGTAAGCATGTGCGTGCGGTATCATACGGCCTGTCATTGAGTCAACTGGCGTGGTTTCGAATCCCCGGTTGTACGTGACAAGGAGTAGGGTCGCCTGTCCAATCTTGTGGGTTTTCTACGGGACCTACGGTTTCCTCCCACTGCTAAAGACCCCTATGCGCAACGAATTATTGAAATAAAATTAAACAATATGTTAATCCCGAAATGACCTAGTTTGTGTCAAGTGGACGTTAAACCCCATTTCTCTCTCTCTCTCTTTCGATTCCGGGCTTGTACCCAATTATCCCTTGCCATATCCAAGACTACTGACAAGTGGGAACTATGCCGGAAAATCCAGTTGAAATTTCTCGGCCAACACCTTATACTCACTGAACCACTGTGGCTTATGACTTGTGATTGTATATAAATTTTTTGTACATATATTATTTTTTTATTTCAATCCTGTAATCTTGATGCTTTGCTTCTTTTATTTACAAAATATTCATTTTGTTTGGGTTTTTTTAATGAGGAAAAGGTTTTACATCATCTTATTACTCCTGCAAAATAGTGCATTTTTCTTTTGTTAGTTTTCTGTGTATATTAGTTATTTCTATATGTCTCACAAATCACTTGTAGTGTGATTTTGTAGCACTTTTCAGTTTTTGAAATTGTTTCAATTTAGTGCATAATTAATCTTAGTGCTTGGTTTGGATGTTATTAAATTTAGATATTATTTGAATTATATATTTTGGAGTATGGGGTAGGGATACTGTGTACATATCTTTATATTCTCAGTTCTTGTTTTGGGGTAAAGAACAATTTATATAGCTATTTTATATTTTGTGATAGGTAAAGTGTGTGGGGTTAAGAACAATTTAAATAGCTATGTTATATTTTGTGATGGGTAAAGTGGGGTGTGTGTGTGTGTGTGTGTGTGTGTGTGTGTGGGGGGGGTCATTATATATAACACAATATAATTAGTATTAGAATTCTCTGTTTTTCTGTTAACATTTCAAATATCTATTTAGTTTTGATGTATTCATTTACTTTTTCCTATGATTTTATGAATAAATAATAATCTTACAAAAACAAAAACAAATTTTGTTTCCTTCTTTTATCAAATTTTACAGGTCTAACAGAGCAAAGAGATGGGTCCTGCATAAAAAGGTTGCTATACTGTATATAAATTGGGGAAAAACACAACACAAGTTTTTGTGGATGGTTATACACAAGTTTGTATGAAACCACACAAGTTTCAGAAATTTCAACACAAGTTTCAGAAATTTTAACACAAGTTTCAGAAATTTCAACACAAGTTTCAAAAATTTCAACACAAGTTTCAACACAAGTATTGTGTAGATTTTCACACAAGTTTCAACACAAGTTTGTGTTGTTTGATAACTTTTAACACAAGTTTTGTGTTGTTTCAACACAAGTTTGTGTTGTTAAATAGAGACACCTTACTTGTGTTGAAAACAACACAAGTTTGTGTTGTTTCAACACAAGTTTTTTTTCAGTGTATTAACAAATGGACTTTTGTAAATCAAATAATATTTTTAACTAAGTATTACATATATAAATCAAAAATAGAAGCAAATATTCAGATACAGGGCATTTTTACAAAGTAAAAAATCCTTAGAACTGGAAATTTTTAAAACTAATAAGAAGATACTTAATAAATGGACATTTTTACCGCATACCCAAATAAAACAGAAATAAACAAAAATTATTGTTATTAAATTATATGAACAACACGGTAGCTAAACGTACTTAAGTCCTTTCAACTTTCGACTTTCATTTCGTGGAAAGGATCTGTACTTTAATCTACCGCTTAACAGCTTAAAATTTCCCTTAAAATGTACAAAAAAGGTCGCTAATAATGTCAAGACTCTGGCCTCCTTAAGGGGAGATAACACATCTTGGGGGGAAACCAAGCTAAATATAATTACACATAATAAAAAAGTACCCTTTGAGACTAATAGAAGTAACGTATTCCCTGCACACAATACTAAAGATAATCATCTACTGGCAATAATAAATGAATGTTAAATAAATGATTTTGAAATTGTATGATGATGTAATGATAAACCCTATTATGCAATAATACTGTATGATGTACCTGTTATCTGTTATGTAATATTTTTTGAATAAATAATAATTTAAAAAAAAAAAAAAAAAAAAAAAAAAATGATGAATTTTCTTGTCCAAAATTATCTCCCCAGTTTACAATGCAATGTGCCTCATCAATAATAATATGCGATATTGTATCAACAAT